GACACTTTTTTAATTGTTTCCTCACCAATCCTGGAAACGTGAGCTGTCTACTGGGTTCACGGCACCAATGTAAGAAGTCGCTCCCACCTAAGATGTAAACCTGGATTCACCAGCATTCTGCACCTCAAAGGGTAAGAGGCCAGGCCAGGCAACATTACTGAGGCCCAGCTGGCTATCCAGGTCTTCTACACCATGCAACATGTTTGACTGAGTGTTGAGGCAGGATAGCAAAACAAGAACTGAACTGGTATGTCAAATGTTTCAAACCATGAGCCTTGCAGTAGAACTGAACTGGTAGGTCAAATGTCTCAAACCATGAGCCTTGCAGTAGAAATGCAAGACTTAACACCTAACATGGTTTAAGTCACATCATGATACTGCACTAACACAAGAATAAAGAACTTGTAGCTTAGCAGGTGGCTTAGTGGGTAAGAGCGTTGTGCCGGTCGCCGAAAGGTCGCTGGTTCTAATCCCGAGCCGACTAGGTGAAAAATCTGTCAATGTGCCCTTAAGCAAGGCACTTAACCCTAATTGCACCTTTAAGTCGCTCTGGATAAGAGCATCTGCTAAATGTAAATGTGTTATTGGCACCAGCCTGGACCATAAATGTAACTACATTTCACAACATCCATATATTTATCCACTCATATGTGATGAGTGAGAACATACTGTATATATGGGTGTTTTACTCTGTTGTGCCGATGTTTTCATTACTGAGTCCTACCCTATGATGAACCCTATGATTAATTGCAAAATGTCCCATATGTGCAACAATGCCATCAACAACCTTGCATTCGAGCTTAAATCTACACTGCCCTAGCATTTAAAGGTAGACAGAGTATTTTACGTACATATCCCCACTGATCCGAATACCCGTCTTATCACTCGGCAATTACTCCATTTGAAACCTTGTTGTGTTGATAATCATTACAAATCGCAATGGCACAATAAACCACAGAGTTATGACAGCGTAGAATAATTCATTATGGACATGGGGAGAAGTTGAAAAGTTCAATAGTGGGGTCTGTGTGCAGCTCTGTACAGTTGTGGATGTACAAGAGACTCCGGGCCAAGCAAAAATAACACCACTGTTTTCCTTCTACTTGTGGTTGGCTTGGCCTGCGGCCAGACGGTTTTAGAACTGGCACATAACTGGCACATTCATCACGATGGAAAGGGAAGCCGAACCAGAGCAGGTTACATTAACAGCACGACCGAGAGACACCTAACTTGAGTTAGTACATGCTTCCATAATGTTTATAAAGACAGAATGCTCAAGAGGGCGGCTAACGTTCCTACCCATCTTAGACAGCAGGGAAGTCTTATTTGTGTGAGGTATCTGAAAGAAGGTTTTTTTTAAAGAATACCCTATTGCCTTTGTTAGCGCTACGATGCTACCTCAAGCAATCAGTGCTCTTGTAATGCACTGAAAGGCATATGTTTTTCCAACACTGCATGCAATCGTTTGTGGTATACTTCTTCAAATCAGCAATGGGACGGGAGAGTTTGCCTGCCACTAATTTCACCAAACCGCCTAGTTGTTGTATTCCCACGGGGATGACTCAGCAGCTGAGAAATGAAATGTGTTGTAAACCTGGCTGAGAGCAGGAACACACACTAAAGAAACCGACCCGTTGGACCGCATGCTCGATGTGAGGCACTGATTTTGCCCATGTTGATGCAATGATTATGTGGTTTGGTAAAGTGAGCCAGGAGACGTTCTGTTTGTTTACACAGGTTAGGCTATTTTTACCAGGCAACTTTTGTTTTCACAGTAGAGTTGAGTCACACTGTAACACTGTAACCTTAGCAACTGTTTCTTACCCTTGCCTATGTATAGTATGAAAGGAAAATCAAGCTCGCAAGTGCTGGCAGTCATCCTCTCCTTCTAATCGGTATCTAAATTGGAAGCCCAGCTCAGTATAAACACTTCAACAAAAAATAATGTAAAGCAGGTTGAATCCAAAAGTAAAATACAGATCTTCTCAAGTGATATTGTCGCAATATAAAGTTGAATTGAAGTGTGTGACCTATTTTAAGACGTTTCGGAATGCAACAGTCCAAAACTGAGAGGTGCTGGACTGTTCCGGGCAGGATCCGGCACAAATTAAGCACGGCAAACAACACCTGTGTAAAGGAACAGATGACGATCAACAATGATCTTGGATGTGCCTCTTGCACTCACTTGAATCTAGGCAACTGTTGCGGGAAATCTGACTCGCTACCTGCACAACTTGATTGTCAAGTAATAGCCTAGCGATAAGACAGGCAGGTAGCCTAGCGGTGAGACAGGCAGGTAGCCTAGCGATAAGACAGGCAGGTAGCCTAGCGGTGAGACAGGCAGGTAGCCTAGCGATAAGACAGGCAGGTAGCCTAGCGATAAGACAGGCAGGTAGCCTAGCGGTGAGACAGGCAGGTAGCCTAGCGATAAGACAGGCAGGTAGCCTAGCGGTGAGACAGGCAGGTAGCCTAGCGATAAGACAGGCAGGTAGCCTAGCGGTGAGACAGGCAGGTAGCCTAGCGGTGAGACAGGCAGGTAGCCTAGCGATAAGACAGGCAGGTAGCCTAGCGATAAGACAGGCAGGTAGCCTAGCGGTGAGACAGGCAGGTAGCCTAGCGGTGAGACAGGCAGGTAGCCTAGCAGTGAGACAGGCAGGTAGCCTAGCGATAAGACAGGCAGGTAGCCTAGCGGTGAGACAGGCAGGTAGCCTAGCGATAAGACAGGAAGGTAGCCTAGCGGTGAGACAGGCAGGTAGCCTAGCGATAAGACAGGCAGGTAGCCTAGCGGTGAGACAGGCAGGTAGCCTAGCGATAAGACAGGCAGGTAGCCTAGCGGTGAGACAGGCAGGTAGCCTAGCGATGAGACAGGCAGGTAGCCTAGCGATAAGACAGGCAGGTAGCCTAGCGGTGAGACAGGCAGGTAGCCTAGCGATAAGACAGGAAGGTAGCCTAGCGATAAGACAGGCAGGTAGCCTAGCGATAAGACAGGCAGGTAGCCTAGCGGTGAGACAGGCAGGTAGCCTAGCGGTGAGACAGGCAGGTAGCCTAGCGATAAGACAGGCAGGTAGCCTAGCGATAAGACAGGCAGGTAGCCTAGCGGATGAGACAGGCAGGTAGCCTAGCGGTGAGACAGGCAGGTAGCCTAGCGATAAGACAGGCAGGTAGCCTAGCGGATAAGACAGGCAGGTAGCCTAGCGGTGAGACAGGAGGTAGCCTAGCGGTGAGACAGGCAGGTAGCCCTAGCGGTGAGACAGGCAGGTAGCCTAGCGGTGAGACAGGCAGGTAGCCTAGCGATAAGACAGGCAGGTAGCCTAGCGGTGAGACAGGCAGGTAGCCTAGCGATAAGACAGGCAGGTAGCCTAGCGGTGAGACAGGCAGGTAGCCTAGCGGTGAGACAGGCAGGTAGCCTAGCGGTGAGACAGGCAGGTAGCCTAGCGGTGAGACAGGCAGGTAGCCTAGCGATAAGACAGGCAGGTAGCCTAGCGGTGAGACAGGCAGGTAGCCTAGCGATAAGACAGGCAGGTAGCCTAGCGAGTGAAGACAGGCAGGTAGCCTAGCGATGAGACAGCAGGTGCCTAGCGTAGACAGGCAGGTAGCCTACGATGACAGGCAGGTAGCCTACGGTGAGACGCAGTAGCCTAGCGTGAGACAGGCAGGTAGCCTAGCGAGGCAGGTAGCCTAGCGCGTGAGAAGGCAGGTAGCCTAGCAATAAGACAGGAAGGTAGCCTAGCGGTGAGACAGGCAGGTAGCCTAGCGATGAGACAGGCACGTAGCCTAGCGGTGAGCTACATCCCTGCCGGCCATTCCCTCCCCTACCCTGGACGACGCTGGGCCAATTGTGCGCCGCCCTATGGGTCTCCCGGTTCGCGGCCGGCAACGACAGAGCCTGGATTGCCAATAGAGTAGGAACAATCCCAAACAGATTTGGGACCAGGCTAGAGGTATGGGTATAAGGACTGACCATCCATTATATCAAATTATTTCAATAGCTCCAGTATGTTTTTGTGATAACTCATGGCTATCAAAGTCGTAGTTTCATATTTAAAGTTGATTTAGATATATTGCCATAACAAAAAATATTTAAAATGTTTTCGTGAGCGTAAGCAATTACACTCATTAGAATGCACAAATCAAAACTTATCCTACAGCCCAACCTGTCCCACACGGCAAACAAGTGAGTGTCTGTCTCTGTGTGTCAGTGCGAGCACAAGCTAGCATCAACAGTTGTATATAATTCCAACATTTTCACAATAATGTTTATATTTAATGTTAACATTGTATTAGCTTTTCAGATTATATTTACAAATAGTGATTTCAGTTCTCATTTAATTTAAAAGTCCAAAAATGGATGCACCAAACGCAGATTCCCCCTTTAACAGTGCCATACTCTCTGTCTATGTCTCTCTGCCCTTAGGCTAACGTCATGGTAGTATTCATGTTGGCTGTTGATGCTGTCCAATCTGCACATCGTGACTTCAACCTTCTTTTGGACTGTGATGAAGTCTTCAACGTCTCGACTGAGGGTGCCGTTTACACCATCTACCCCACTAACACCTGTCCAGGCCTAGTGTGACATGGACACTGATGGAGGAAAGTTGACTGAGACAGCACTAATTCTGTCTCTTTCCCATCCTTACAAAGACAGAAAATACAGTAGCTCTCTCTCTCTCTCTCTCTCTCTCTCTCTCTCTCTCTCTCTCTCTCTCTCTCTCTCTCTCTCTCTCTCTCTCTCTCTCTCTCTCTCTCTCTCTCTCTCTCTCTCTCTCTCTCTCTGGAGAATGGACGGCCCTGGGACCATATTTTGGAAACATATCTGGAGAGTACTGGCTGGGTGAGAGTTTACTTCAAAGAAATATGAGGAAACAACAATTTTCCATCATATAGAGTTCCTACTGTCTTCAGGACTGGAGAACATCCACCTCCTTTACTAAGAGGAAGTACGAGCTGAGGGTGGACATGGAGGACTGACAGCTACAGGACGCACGTCACTGGCTTCCAAAATGGAAGAGCAGGTGCGTGAGGAATTAGATATGTGGGTTTTTGAAAAAATATTAACACAAAAGTCATACACTGCTCTAGCTTCATAGTTCTCTGGGAGCACATGCACTGTGTTTGTCCTATAAACCTCATAGAAAATGTTCACCAATACTTGCACCAATAGTGGTCTCTATGAGTGGTACTCTATGAGTACCACTCATAGAGACAGGACAATTGGACTCATGATCATTTTTTCTCTGTTTCTCAGGGGACTCACTGAAGCTTCATACTGGGCAGAAATTATCCGCCTTCGACAAAAACCATGACGCTCCACCTCCGAATTTTGCAAGTAGTTCCTATGTGGCATTTTGGTATATGAGTTGCCACAATGCAAACATCAATGGATTGTACTTATGGGGAAAGGCATGTTACCACTGGTGTTAACTGGGCTACGTGGGAAAGTTATTTTCTTGGATTTTTCTTGGCCGTCTCTATGAAGGTCAGACCAGTGTCTTAGACCACTGAAGAGAAGCAGCCAGCGGGGTCTCCCAATGTGTGTTGCAGGGGCTTAGACCCGCTACTCTGATATTACAGTATCTCATTAATCATCCAATCATAGTCACCTCTATCAGAAAATACATGTGGGATATCAGGGCCCTTCTGTTTTATATACTGTATGTTATGTGTGTTTCTGACCTGACAACTTTAACTCTATGTTTATCTACTGCCACAAACATTGTGTTGATGACGAGCCGGGGCCTTCTGGCGATGCAGCTAAATGTTTAAGGTTTATCTCATTAATCTTTACTGTCCTCTTGTTGTGTAATGCAACCGTATGCAACCGTATGCATTCATGGTCAAAAGTAATTGCAAAGTCCCTCTTTGCCATGAAAATGAACTTAATCCCAAAAAGACATTTCCACTGCATTGCAGCCCTACCACAAAAGGACCAGCTGCCATCATGTCAGTGATTCTCTCGTTAACACAGGTGAGAGTGTTGACGAGGACAAGGCTGGAGATCACTCTGTCATGCTGATTGAGACTGGAAGCTTTAAAAGGAGGGTGGTGCTTGAAATCATTGTTCTTCCTCTGTTAACCATGGTTACCTGCAAGGAAACACGTGCCGTCATCATTGCTTTGCACAAAAAGGGCTTCACAGGCAAGGATATTGCTGCTAGTAAGATCGCACCTAAATCAACCATTTATCGGATCATCAAGAACTTCAAGGAGAGAGGTTCAATTGTTGTGAAGAAGGCGTCAGGGCGCCCAAGAAAGTCCAGCAAGCGCCAGGACCGTCTCCTAAAGTTGATTCAGCTGCGGGATCGGGGCACCACCAGTGCAGAGCTTGCTCAGGAATGGCAGCAGGCAGGTGTGAGTGCATCTGCACGCACAGTGAGGCGAAGACTTTTGGAGGATGGCCTGGTGTCATGAAGGGCAGCAAAGAAGCCACTTCTCTCCAGGAAAAACATCAGGGACAGACTGATATTCTGCAAAAGGTACAGGGATTGGACTGCTGAGGACTGGGGTAAAGTCATTTTCTCTGATGAATCCCCTTTCCGATTGTTTGGGGCATCCGGAAAACACCTTGTCCGGAGAAGACAAGGTGAGCGCTACCATCAGTCCTGTGTCATGCCAAAAGTAAAGCATCCTGAGACTGTTGGCATGACTTCTCAGCCAAGGGAGTGGGCTCACTCACAATTTTGCCTAAGAACACAGCCATGAATAATGAATGGTTCTAACACATCCTCCGAGAGCAACTTCTCCCAGCCATCCAAGAACAGTTTGGTGACGACCAAGGCCTTTTCCAGCATGATGGAGCACCTTGCCATAAAGCAAAATATTGACTCTTTGCATAAACTTTATGTAATTGTCAATAAAAGCCTTTGACACTTATGGAATGCTTGTAATTATACTTCAGTATAACCATAGTAACATCTGACAAAAATATCTCATAACACTGAAGCAGCGAACTTTGTGAAGACCAATACTTGTGTCATTCTCAAAACTTTTGACCACAACTGTACAGTCCACACATTCAATACAGATTTTCAGTACACTTCATAATGACTAGGTTGCATACTGCACTCTCATATCTAAAACAATCATGTCTAGCATCAAATGTTTTGATGAAGGGGCCTGCTTCGTGTTACAGAGAGGCAATAGCTAGTGGAGTAGTCTCTCAAATGTAGGCATTTGGCAGTTATCATTGCCAGACCGAATGCCTTGAATAGCATGTCATTAGCTACTTTGACCCTGCGTGTCACAATAATTGCAGCACTAAAGGAAGGCAATGGAAAGGATCTGAATTTCATGCGTAGCGTGAAGTCCCTGGGTGGAATGAAGGAATGTTTACATTTGCTGACTAAAATGAGGACTGTTGTTTATGGACTATCCAGTATGAATGTCTTTTTTGACTTTTTGACCACGAGTAAAAGACACCTAATAAATACAATGAACAAAGGTATAAGAATAATGTTTTATGTAAGGGACAAAAACTCCTCTTTGAACACTATACGTACAAAAGTATGTGGACACCCATTCAAATTAGTGGATTCTGCTATTTCAGCCACACCCCATTGCTGACAGGTGTATAAAATCGAGCACACATTCATGCAATCTCCATGGACAAACATGGCCTTACTGAAGAGCTCAGTGACTTTCAACTTGGCACCGTCATAAACAAGTCAGTTTGTCAAATTTCTGCCCTGATAGAGCTTCCCCGGTCAACTGATAGAGCTTCCCCGGTCAACTGTAAGTGTTGTTATTGTGAAGTGGAAACGTCTAGGAGCAACAATGGCTCCGCCGCAAAGTGGTAGGCCACACAAGCTGAATGCCGCAGCGCGTAGCACGTAAAAATAATTTGTCTTCAGTTGCAACACTCACTACTACCAAACTGCCTCTGGAAGCAACTTTAGCACAATAACTGTTAGTCGGGAGCTTCATGAAATGGGTTTCCATGGCCGAGCAGCCGCACACAAGCTCGCAGCCATTGGACACTGGAGCAGTGGAAGCGCGTTCCCAGGAGTGATGAATCAAGCTTCACCATCTGGCAGTCTGACGGAAGAATCTGGGTTTGGCGGATGCTAGGAGAACGATACCTGCCCGAATGCATAGTGCCAACTGTAAAGTTTGGTGGAGGAGGAATAATGATCTGGGGCTGTTTTTCATGGTTCGGGCGAGGCCCCTTAGTTCCAGTGAACGGAAATCTTAACACTACAGTATACAATTATATTCTAGACGATTCTGTGCTTCCAACTTTGTGGCAACAGTTTGAGGAAGGCCCTTTCCTGTTTCAGCATGACAATGCCCCCGTGCACAAAGCGAGGTCCATACAGATGTGGTTTGTCAAGATCGGTGTGGAAGAACTTGACTGGCCTGCACAGAGCCCTGACCTCAAACCCATCGAACACCTTTGGGATGAATTGGAACGCCGACTGCGAGCCAGGCCTAATCGCCAAACATCAGTGCTAATGCTCTTGTGGCTGAATGAAAAGCAAGTTCCCGCAGCAATGTTCCAACATCTAGTGGAAAGCCTTCCTAGAAGAGTGGAGGCTGTTATAGCAGCAAAGCTCGACGAGCAGGTGTCCACATACTTTTGGTCATGTAGTGTATGTGATGTTTGGCCTATAAATGACATTCTCAAGCCACGTGTCTGGTTGTGTTTCAGTAGATTTAACGAGCGATACATTAGCTATCTAACTTAATCAACCTCATTTGATTCAACATAATAATAATAATAATAATAATAATATAATATATGCCATTTAGCAGACAGTTTTATCCAAAGCGAATTATAGTCATGCATGCATACATTTTAGGTATGGGTGGTCCCGGGAATCGAACCCACTATCCTGACGTTACAAACACCATGCTGAAAACCTCACTGAATATATTGCTTCTAGATTCTAAATGAAGGATGAAGGTCAATGGAGAACATATTAAGAAATATCTTACAGCTTCTCAATAACAGTCTTTCAGTTTCTACATGATTTAGCCGTTTGAGGTCTAACTATCCAAAAAGCAAAATCATTTTTTTTCTTTGCATCTTGGCAGTGTTTGTGTTGGAGGTCACGCGGGCATTGATGTAGATTTTCTCAAGACGGCTTGGAACACCAACATACAGAACCTTGGCTCCTGAGTGGCGCAGTGGTCTAAGGCACTGCATCGCAGTGCTAACTGTGTCACTAGAGATCCTGGTTCGAATCCAGGCTCTGTCGCAGCCGGCCGCGACCGGGAGACTCATGGGCGGCGCACAATTGGCCCAGCGTTGTCCAGGGTAGGGGAGGGAATGGCCGGCAGGGATGTAGCTCAGTTGATAGAGCATGGCGTTTGCAACGCCAGGGTTGTGGGTTCGATTCCCACGGGGGGCCAGTATAAAAAAAAAAATTGTATTCACTAACTGTAAGTCGCTCTGGATAAGAGCGTCTGCTAAATGACTAAAATGTAAATGTAAACCTTCCAAGAGTTGAGAAACATATTTACTTGTCTACATTGTCAGTAGACGTGGCTGTCTATGACAAGTATTCGCTGTGTCCTTTTGGGTAAAAAGTGAATTAGTAGAGGGAAATTATTGAGAAAAAATAAATACATTGGTAGAAGGTTCATTGCAGTTATTTGTGACTGCCATTAAATGTCAGATAATTGCAGAGCCTTCAATCTGCAGCTACTGATTGCTGCTTAGCTGTATCTAAATCAAGCACCCACATGCAGACGCTCTGTGCCAACATTGTGTAAGTCTGCTATAGCACCACTTCCAGCTCCATATCTGCTTTAGTACATCCCAAGTTATCAGCTTGACTTAGGCAACGCTTGACTTCCCTTCTTAGGAAAATCTACACATTTCCCATGAAAGATTTACACTAATTTAAATCACAGCCATGTGTGAATAGCCCCCCTTATCATTGAATAACGTTGCAAACGACAGACGTAAAAAGACGGCTGTGTGTTTTCCTTAAGACTTGCCACAGACCCCTGATATTTCTTTAAACTGTGAGAAAAATGAACTGTGTTTTCGAATCGTACGTCTAAACAGCAACGGTTACCTCAGGGATGCTTTCGGAATCTGTGGATTTTCTTGGCACTTTCCCTGAAGATGTTGTGTTGGCTTATCGTTTGGACATACCATTCGGCCAGTTGCTGTCGTCACTTTGACTCGCATTGGAGCACTTCACCTCATTATAGAACGTCAAAAAACTTCCTATATCCTCCTTCCTGTTGGATATCTTGGATAAACAAACCACTTGGCTTGTGAACCACAGGCCTCTGTTTCAGAAGGGGGAGTCGAGTTTATAGCTGTGTTGTCCCGAGCAGTTTCCCCAGCTACTGGTTACGCAAGGCTAGGTCAATAAAACCCAATCCCCCAGAAATGTTCTCTCAAATTTTACAGGGCACTCCGTTTTTTTTTTTCTTCACTTTGTGTAAAACAAATGAGCAAGGTAATAAAGTAGATAGATATTTTCATCTTTGGGGCCAAGTCCAGCATAAATACATGACTTGATGCAGCGAACAACTAAATAACAGTGAGACAACGGTAGTAATCCAATACCAGTGGAATGATGTAACTAAAATGCGGTCTGTAGCCTAATAATGTCAACGCTAATAACTGTATTAATTTGTTTTATTGAGTCGGTGTAATGGTGAACTGAACATGACACGTTATGCTACTCTGGGAATAACAAGTGATTCTAAGTTTGAGTTTCAAACTTACTCACCAGAAAAGTCCCCCCCAAAAAAGGAAATGACATGCATTCCTTCTCAGTTGCTGTATTGCACATGTACACAAAACAGAAGTTCTTATAAAAATGTAGCGAATCAAAATGCAGGAATACAGGCTTTACCTGCCCCCAGTGTAGGCCTACATGATTGAGAGGCCATTCAAACATGCATTAGACGGTTTACTATACACTACATTGAGGTGGCCAGCAAAATATTTAATCAAAACTGCATGCAGTGCACTTTGAAAAAAAGTTGTAATGCATTTAAAGCTGCAATGTGTACATTTTTGGGTGACCCAACAAAATTCACATAGAAATGTCAGTTATAGACCTGTCATTCTCATTGAAATCTAAGTCTAAGAAGCGGTAATGTGTTCTGTGTGCGCTATTTCTATGCTTCCCGTTCTTACTTTCGGTTTTGTACACCGGCTTCAAACAGCTGAAAATAATATATTTTTGGTTATGGAAAATATATTTCACAGCAGTTTAGATTAAACCGTGATTCTCTACACTACACTTGCTTGTTTTCTCACATAAACTGAAATTAGGCGAACTATTAGAATTTGAGCAACCAGGAAATGGCGGAGCGATTTCTGCATAGTGCCTCTTTAAAAGGTAGTAACAGATTTTATTTGTTGATTGGAGCCTACACTGTAAGTCACACAATAAGGAATTGCAATACTTGGTAGCATAGATTACCTCCACTTATGAGGCACCAATGCGTTATGCATCATTAATGACATTATGTTCCAAAATTAGGCTTATTTTCTTTATTTGTTAAACAAACAAGATTTATCTTCAATGAGAAATGCCCCGAGACCTTTTCTCAGCGATAAAGATGGATCGGATAAACTCTGCTATACCCTTGGATCTCCAACTTGTTTTCAGGCTTGTCGGTGCTCCTTCTAAATGATCCAGAAAATGCCCCTAATGGAAATTGCAGGTGGGAAATGCATTATAAATCTGGGGGTCTTGCAACCATTTCATTTGGAGAGAAGTGGTTAATCTACCGTTAATATAGAGAGAAAACATTCCTGAGTAATTACTGTGCATTATAAAACACTGTATACAGGTCAAGCAACTAGCATGGCTGATTAGGGCCTGACTGAGTTCTAAAATGGCACCGATTTAGGACCTATTTTTCCTCCAAAGTGAGTCTGTAAACGAAGCCAGTCCATAAGATTTATTCAATTATGAACGGACAATAATGGACCCTTGTATTTCCGCACAATGAGGAAAACTATCCAATATGAACTCATCCCTGAGAAAGGTTGAGACCTTTTCATTTCTGAAAAATGTCAATGGATAGATACTTCCGGAAAACAAACACACTGAAGGTGATGCACACCACCGAAACATCTGTGCAATTTCTCCCCTACCTGCTGTCAAAAATTAATAATAAAACAAACAAAAAATATGCCATTTAGCAGACGCTTTTATCCAAAGCGACTTACAGTCACGCGTGCATACATTTTTACGTATGGGTGGTCCCGGGGTTCGAACCCACTACCCCTGGCGTTACAAGCGCAGTGCTCTACCAATTGAGCTACAGAGGACCACAAAAAAAAGCATAAAAAAAAAAAAAGACATTAAAACAATAAATAACACACTTTTTGAGTTTGTGTGTTTCCATGCTACATTGGGCCAAAGCAGCGTGGAAGTTATTTACATTTGGCCATCACTACTTCCACTAAGCACAGGCTGAACTGGAGACAGTAAAACAACAATGATATGCAAGCAAATCACTTATTCATGGCCAGCTAGTAGCTTTAGTCAGTGCATCACAGGTTTGAAAACCACTCAAACCAATCATTGAAATAGGAGGCTCCATTACAGAAGTGGCATTACCCTGTATTCATCAAGAGACATGAGTTACCGTTAACAGGATCATTTGGCATGACTGGTACGTTGGGCATTAGGTTACATTAGGTACATTGTGCGTTAGGATCATTCAAGTCCATTCATAATGGCATAGTTTCATACATAAGAATTAGGTTGATCACAAAAACCCATCTCAGAATTCACTGATAATCACAGTGATAGTACTGAATCAAGAGTTCTCTATAATTCCCCTAAACATCAAAAGAAACCCGTGCAGCATGTCATAGTATATCGTTTCATGTTGTGAAGGTATGTTTCAGTTAATACAGTGTGTTTCATGTACATACAGTTGTGGTCAAAGGTTTTGAAAATGACACTAGTATTGGTCTTCACAAAGTTCGCTGCTTCAGTGTTATGATATATTTTTGTCAGATGTTACTATGGTATACTGAAGTATAATTACAAACATTCCATAAGTGTCAAAGGCTTTTATTGACAATTACATTAAGTTTATGCAAAGAGTCAATATTTGCAGTGTTGACCCTTCTTTTTCAAGACCTCTGCAATCCGCCCTGGCATACTGTCAATTAACTTCTGGGCCACATCCTGACTGATGGCAGCCCATTCTTGCAAAATCAATGCTTGGAGTTTTCAGAATTTGTGGGGTTTTGTTTGTCCACCTGCCTCTTGAGGATTGACCACAAGTTCTCAATGGGATTAAGGTCTGGGGAGTTTCCTGGCCATTGACCCAAAATGTCGATGTTTTGTTCCCAGAGCCACTTAGTTATCACTTTTGCCTTATGGCAAGGTGCTCCATCATGCTGGAAAAGGCATTGGTCGTCACCAAACTGTTCTTGGATGGTTGGGAGAAGTTGCTCTCAGAAGATGTGTTGGTACCATTCTTTATTCATGGCTGTGTTCTTAGGCAGAATTGTGAGTGAGCCAACTCCCTTGGCTGAGAAGCAACCCCACACATGAATGGTCTCAGGATGCTTTACTGTTGGCATGACACAGGACTGATGGTAGTGCTCACCTTGTCTTCTCCGGACAAGGTGTTTTCCAGATGCCCCAAACAATCGGAAAGGGGATTCATCAGAGAAAATGACTTTACCCCAGTCCTCAGCAGTCCAATCCCTGTACCTTTTGCAGAATATCAGTCTGTCCCTGATGTTTTTCCTGGAGAGAAGTGGCTTCTTTGCTGCCCTTCATGACACCAGGCCATCCTCCAAAAGTCTTCGCCTCACTGTGCGTGCAGATACACTCACACCTGCCTGCTGCCATTCCTGAGCAAGCTCTGCACTGGTGTTGCTCCGATCCCGCAGCTGAATCAACTTTAGGAGACGGTCCTGGCACTTGCTGGACTTTATTGGGCGCCCTGACGCCTTCTTCACAACAATTGAACCTCTCTCCTCAAAGTTCTTGATGATCCGATAAATGGTTGATTTAGGTGCAATCTTACTAGCAGCAATATCCTTACCTGTGAAGCCCTTTTTGTGCAAAGCAATTACATTTACATTTTAGTCATTTAGCAGACGCTCTTATCCAGAGCGACTTACAGGCAATGATGACGGCACGTGTTTCCTTCCAGGTAACCATGGTTAACAGAGGAAGAACAATGATTTGAAGCACCACCCTCCTTTTAAAGCTTCCAGTCTGTTATTCTAACTCAATCAGCATGACAGAGTGATCTCCAGCCTTTTCCTCGTCAACACTCTCACCTGTGTTAACGAGAGAATCACTGACATGATGGCAGCTGGTCCTTTTGTGGCAGGGCTGAAATGCAGTGAAAATCAAAACTTTTGACCACGACTGTAGAGTCATTGAACACTGGTCACTTTAATTATGTTTACATACCGTTTTACCCACTTCTTATGTATATACTGCATTCTAGTCAAGGCTCATCCTATATAACTACTGCTGTACACACCACTTCTATTCATATAATGTCCATACTGTCCATACACACCATTATACACTGAGTGAACAAAACATGACATGACCAGGGGAACGCAGGTGAAAGCTATGAACCCTTATTGAGGTCACTTGTTAAATCCATTTCAAATCAGTGTAGATGAAGGGGAGTGTAGTGTGTAATGTTAGGTATTACTGCACTGTTGTGTATGTGACCAGTATCATTTTATTTTGATTTGATATTGTAAATGGTATGTTTCAGTTAATACAGTGTATCATGTTGTGATGGTATGTTTCAGTTAATACAGTGGATCATGTTGTGATGGTATGTTTCAGTTAATCCAGTGGATCATGTTGTGATGGCATGTTTCAGTTAATACAGTGTATCATGTTGTGATGGCATGTTTCAGTTAATACAGTGTATCATGTTGTGATGGTATGTTTCAGTTAATACAGTGTATCATGTTGTAATAATAATAATAATATAATATGCCATTTAGCAGACGCTTTTATCCAAAGCGACTTACAGTTATGCGTGCATACATCTTTTTTTTTGTGTATGGGTGGTCCCGGGGATCGAACCCACTACCTTGGCGTTACAAGCGCCGTGCTCTACCAGCTGAGTTGTGATGGCATGTTTCAGTTAATACAGTGTATCATGTTGTGATGGCATGTTTCAGTGTGACTTGACACCACACACACAGAATCAAATGCAGGTACATTCTGCTTGAGATCATAGCAACAATCTCCCTTCACTTAGAGAGTTTAATATAATTGACGGCATGGTATAACAACATACCAGTAAAAAAAACAATTGTGTCAAGGCAATATAACCACAATGCATAGCAACAGGCATCCACAGCACAGTTCTCTGCAGTACATTGGCAAGGTCTAATATTTGGAGAGAGTGAAAGGTAGACATTATTTATCACGTGGTTACGCCCACCATGATTTCACTAATATCCCAAAGTTTCCCGGCCACCTCTTGGTCCGTAGCCTTGGGCAGAAGTTTCTGCTCCTGGCAGTCCGCAAAGCACTTCCCCTGGACCTCCTCCACGTCGGGCGAGCAGGCCAGGTAGACAGAGGTCTGCGCCCCCTCCTCGGGGCTCTTGAAGAAGACCCTGGATGCCAGCTCCCACAGGGGCTTGGCCAGCAGCGGGATATTGACATGCCTCCCCAGGTTAGTCCTCACTATCCCCGGGGTCAAGGCATTGACCACCACCCCCGTCCCCTCGAGGCGGCGGGCCAGCTCGCAGGTGAAAAGGAGGTTGGCTAGCTTGCTTCGGCCGTAGGCGAAGGCTTTGTCGTAGCGCTGTTCGCTGTTCAGGTCGTCAAAGTCGATCTCGCCGTACTTGTAGAGTTTGGACGAGACCACAACCACGCGGCTGGGGGCAGAGCGCTTCAGGAGGTCCAGGAGGAGGTGGGTGAGGAAGAAGTGGCCGAGGTGGTTCACCCCGAACTGCATCTCGAAGCCGTCCTCAGTCTTGGTATAGGGGCACTGGTAGATGCCTGCATTGTTGATCAGCACGTCAATCCTGGGCTCTTCCTGTTGGAAAACAGAAACAGAAAAATAAGATTGGTTACAAGCTTTAATAATGCTCCGTGTTGCTATAATGTCATGTTTATCACATGTTTATAGATGTGTGTATGCTTTACTAGTGGTTCCCAACAAGGGGTACTAGGACCCTGGGGGTACCTGGCCTATCCACAGGGGGTACTTGAGAAGACTCATGAGACCATAGGCCTACTGGTAAATTTCACAAAGGGGTATTCAGTTGGTGGTACAGTAACCGAAAGCGGCTGGGAACCACTGCTTTATTATATAGGTACAGTTAAAGTAAGGTAGCTATTTATGACATTAGTGCATGTGCAATAAGCCCCAGATTTGACAAACTCTTCCAAAAAGGTTTCTTTGGCTGTCCCCATAGGAGAACCCTTTTTGTTTCCAGGTAGAAGCCTTTTGGGTTCTACATGGAACCAAAAACGTTTTTTTTTTTTTCAAAGGGTTCTCCTATGGGGACAGAAGAAATAAACTTTTAGGTTCTAGATAGCACCTTTTTTTCTAAGCATGTATAGTAGAGCTCTAGTGATGCAAATGTTATTGTACAGTGAAATGGTACCTGTGATGACACCTTCTTCTACTGCTCTCTGCAACAGATGTATTGCTAGCTAGCAAACTGTTTTACCCCTTCCTCTTCTGGCAAACAATTTAGCTATACCTATTTGTATTGATTATGGATCCCCATTAGCTACTGCCAAGGCAATGCATTCACACATTAAGTGTGTGCCCTCAACCACTACTCTACTACCACATATCCAAAACACAAAATCTGTGTGTACATGTGTGTATAGTGCGTATGATATTGTGTGTGTGTATGCATGTGTCTGTGCCTGTGATTGTGTCTCTTCACAGTCCCTGCTGTTCCATTAGGTGTATTTTTATCTTTTTTTTAAATCTAATTTTACTGCTTGCATCAGTTACTTGATGTGGAATAGAGTTCCATGTAGTCATGGCTCTATGTAGTACTGTGCGCCACCCATAGTCTGTTCTGGACTTGCGGACTGTGAAGAGACCTCTGGTGGCATGTCTTGTGGGGTATGCATGGGTGTCTGAGCTGTGTGCCAGTAGTTCAAACAGACAGCTCGGTGCATTCAACATGTCAATACCGCTCACAAATACGAGTAGTGATGAAGTCAATCTCTCCTCCACTTTGAGCCAGGAGAGATTGACATGCATATTATTAATATTAGCTCTCTGTGTACATCCGAGGGCCAGCCGCGCTGCCCTGTTCTGAGCCTATTGCAATTATCCTAAGTCCCTCTTTGTGGCACCTGACCACACGACTGAACAGTAGTCCAGCTGTGACAAAACTAGGGCCTTTAGGACCTGTCTTGTTGATCCTGCTGTTAAGGCACATCAGCGATTTTCTATGGACAGACTTCTTCCCATCTTAGCTACTTTTGGATCAATATGTTTTGACCATGACAGTTTACAATCCTGGGATACTCCAAATCAAATTGTATTTGCCACATGCGACGAATACCTTACAATGAAATGCTTACTTACAAACCCTTAACCAACAACGCAGTTTTAAGAAAATAAAATAAAAAGTGTTAAAGTAAAAAATAACAATAGCAAATAATTAAAGAGCAGCAGTAAAATAAAATAACAGTACAGAGGCTATATACAGGGGGTACTGGTACAGAGTCAATGTGTGGAGGCATCAGATAGTCGAGGTAATTGAGGTAATATGTACATGTGGGTAGAGTTAAAGTGACTATGCATAGATAATAAACAGAGTAGCAGCAGCGTAAAAGAGGGGGTGGGGTGGGGGGGGGCAGTGCAAATAGTCAATTAGTTTTCAAATGATTGAACATTGGCTAATAGGATTGATGGAAGAGGTAGTTTACTCGCTCGCCGTCTGATCCTTACAAGGCACCCAGACCTACGTCCACGATATCTCTGTCTCTTTCTCATGCGAATGACGGGGATGTGGGCCTTTTTGGGTGTCTGTAGAATATCCTTCGTGTCCAACTTGAAGAAAAATATTCGTCCAATATGAGGTGAGTAATCGCTGTCCTGATATCCAGAAGCTATTGTTGGTCATAAGAGACGGTGGCAGAAACATTACGTACAGAGTAAATTACAAATAACGTGAAAAACACACATAATAGTAAAATTGGTTAGAGGGCTGTAAAACAGCAGCCATCTTCTCCGGCGCCATCTTATGAAGCAGTTTAGTCACCTCAACTTGCTCAATTTCCACATGATTTATTACAATATTTAGTTGAGGTTTAGGGTTTAGTGAATGATTTGTCCCAAATACATTGCTTTTAGTTTTTGAAATATTTAGGACTAACTTATTCCTTGCCACCCATTCTGAAACTAACTGCAGCTCTTTGTTAAGTGTTGCAGTCATTTCAGTCGCTGTAGTAGCTGACGTGTATAGTGCTGAGTCATCCGCATACATAGACACACTGGCTTTACTCAAAGTGAAGATTGAAAAAAGTTAGGTGCCTAGACAGCTGCCCTGGGGAATTCCTGATTCTACATGTATTATGTTGGAGAGGCTTCCATTAAAGAACACCCTCTGTGTTCTGTTAGACACGTAACTCTTTATCCACAACATTCACCTTATTTAAGAACCTGGAAACAAAACAATGTCTGAACGTTCTGTTTTGTGGAGGACTTCCGTTGTGGCGTTCTTGCCGTTTTGGGAACATTAGCTAGCTAGCTCAAAATGTTGTGGGATCATACCAAGAAAAACCTTTCAAAGTCGAATGGGCAAGTCTGTGCCACATCCGCGGATTATTCAAGAGTGGGAAGACGATATGAAAAAATTGCCAAATATCACCTAACATCTTCAATTATTTTGTCTTGTCTCTCTGTGGGTCAGAGATGTGGAGCTACAAAAGCACAGAGGCATATTAATACCTCCACAGCGGCAAAGTTGGCGGGTGCTTATTCACGGTCTTGAGGATGACAACCTGGTGTTCCTCAGCAGCTGTCCAGCCCAGTCAGAGAAAAACACACCATCATTCTGTCTGGATTCTTGTATCATCTGTCGGCACGGTGGAGACTGCAGGGAGTTCTTGTGTTGCAGGGCAGGGGAAGTCTTGCAGCCATGCAGCTGCAATACTATGGAAGGTAGCTAGCTCGCTGGCTTTTTTGTTTATCGTAACCCTTTCTATGACTGATACGTTTGACGTTAGCTAGTTACTTAGCTTGATAGCTAATTGTGATGATACCATATCACTGACCAGAACTGATAACGTTAACTATTACAACATGCACACACGGTTTTTGGTTTCAATGACTCATTGTGTAAGTATATCAGTCTAACCTCGAATGGCAATGAGGTAGGTACAAAATCAAGGTGAGTTTTACAATCAAATATGAAATTACCAACATAACCTAAACCTACTAGTTAAAAAGGAAACTGTGTACACTAGTCAGCTGTGAACACCATATAAACTAGTGTTCTGTACTGTAATTGACTATTCTAACAGTAGTGTTTCGTTGAAGGTGCAGAATGCTGTGTATGGAGGATTGACAGGGGTGTCCTGTACAGATGAGCAACGCCAGTGGAACTCGGGGACGCAGCAGAATTTAGCTCCAAAAAGGTTGAGCGAGATCCGTTTCAAACGTCTGGTAAACTCACCGATGTGAAGCTGGTGGATGGGGTTCCTCAGCTTCCACCTAATGGAGACCGTAGGTACTACATGCAGGTGCAAATGGGCATGTTCTGCACAGGACTGGAGAGATGCAAACTGCTTGTCTGGGCTCCATCCAAGCAGGCTGTTACTGATGTGCCTTTTGATGTGAAGTTCTGTGCTGATGTCATCCCTAAACTGAAGGTATTCTATTTCACACATATGCTGCCAAGGATAGTAGATGAGTTCCAGTCAGGCAGACTAACTCTGTGCTCCAAATATGTTCATCTACAGTGGGGGGAAAAAAGTATTTAGTCAGCCACCAATTGTGCAAGTTCTCCCACTTAAAAAGATGAGAGAGGCCTGTAATTTATCATAGGTACACGTCAACTATGACAGACAAATTGAGAAAAAGATTTCCAGAAAATCACATTGTAGGATTTTTAATGAATTTATTTGCAAATTATGGTGGAAAATAAGTATTTGGTCACCTACAATCAAGCAAGATTTCTGGCTCTCACAGACCTGTAACTTCTTCTTTAAGAGGCTCCTCTGTCCTCCACTCGTTACCTGTATTAATGGCACCTGTTTGAACTTGTTATCAGTATAAAAGACACCTGTCCACAACCTCAAACAGTCACACTCCAAACTCCACTATGGCCAAGACCAAAGAGCTGTCAAAGGACACCAGAAACAAAATTGTAGACCTGCACCAGGCTGGGAAGACTGAATCTGCAATAGGTAAGCAGCTTGGTTTGAAGAAATCAACTGTGGGAGCAATTGTTAGGAAATGGAAGACATACAAGAAGCATGGGGGTGGAAACATCATGCTTTGGGGCTGTTTTTCTGCAAAGGGACCAGGACGACTGATATCATTGGGATCATTGTCATGCTGAAAGAATGAATGGGGCCATGTATCGTGAGATTTTGAGTGAAAACCTCCTTCCATCAGCAAGGGCATTGAAGATGAAACGTGGCTGGGTCTTTCAGCATGACAATGATCCCAAACACACCACCCGGGCAACGAAGGAGTGGCTTCGTAAGAAGCATTTCAAGGTCCTGGAGTGGCCTAGCCAGTCTCCAGATCTCGACCCCATAGAAAATCTTTGGAGGGAGTTGAAAGTCTGTGTTGCCCAGCGACAGCCCCAAAGCATCACTGCTCTAGAGGAGATCTGCATGGAGGAATGGGCCAAAATACCAGCAACAGTGTGTGAAAACCTTGTGAAGACTTACAGAAAATGTTTGACCTGTGTCATTTCCAACAAAGGGTATATAACAAAGTATTGAGCAACTTTTGTTATTGACCAAATACTTATTTTCCACCATAATTTTCAAATAAATTAATAAAAAATCCTACAATGTGATTTTCTGGAGAAGAAAATTCTCAATTTGTCTGTCATAGTTGATGTGTACCTATGATGAAAATTACAGGCCTCTCTCATCTTTTTAAGTGGGAGAACTTGCACAATTGGTGGCTGACTAAATACTTTTTTTCCCCACTGTATGTGGTATCTAGGGGCCTAATACCTCTGTGTTTTTAAATAGTTCCTATGTTTTGTGCCTTGTAAAGCTCTCTGTCAGCGCTACCTTATTATCTAAGCATAACTCTTGATTGGTGTTTTTTTTTGTCTTGCACAGTTCTCTTCATATGCACATTTACCTGATTATATTTGCATAATTCTTGGTGTTTTTATATTTTATATCTTGCCTTGTACATCGCTTCTTACATGTTTATCTAATGCCTACGGATAACTCCTTATGCTTTATGAATATGTTTATTGTACCTTGTATAGGTTTCTTTTCATATGGCACTTTATGAACTTATCTGAGCATACCGTAATTCATCTTACACTTGGCAAATTATTGTGTTAATAAAAACACTGAAATTCAACTTTGTTGACATTTTCTTAGACACTTAACATTTTGAAATGAAGGAAGAGGAGGCGTGTCTAAGGGTTTCAAATGTGTTTTCAGTTTGATTCTGGGTTTGGTTTTCAAGGGCACTAATTAAGAAAACAGTGCGACACTTCATAAACAGTTGGCTTCCCTCTTGGTCTGTTAGAGACAGTTTGGTGTTGAAGAAAATGTATTTTAAATAGATTGAAGGAGGCATGATAGCATCACCTATTGGATGCCTGTAATTATCAGGAACAGGCGAAGTTACAGTACATTTCTAATGTAGGAACATTAAAATGATTCTGATTAAATAGGAAACGATATATATACACACAGTATCTCATGTGGATGAAATTATAGTGTATAAAGTTACATTTCACATGTATGAACATTCTCACAGCTCACTCGGCATCCTCATGGATGATCTCACCCTGCATGTTAACAAGTGCTTCACATATTCTAAGGACTTTGTCCATTTTGTGCGTCAGGTTGATGGGAACAGTCTGGGAGAGGATTTTGAACACCTTGAGTCGTCTGATAACTCTCTCAACATGTATACGTACATTAGCCATCCTACTCGTGCTTGTGACTTCCTCGTCAGACAGCTGGTCTCCTTTCTGAGTGAAGGCTGGTATGGCAAGGATTACCTTCCTCTCATACAGCAGATCTCCGAGGGTGAAGCCCCCGTCTGTCATAACTTCATCGCCAGGCCTAAGGTATTCCAGGAAACCAGAGTTTTGGGTGATGAACTTGTCACTGCATCTGCAGGAGAACTGAACATAACGAGTCCACATGGAGCAATGGAAACCAAATACTTGAGAGTATTGCTGGAATAATAGTGGCTGTATGACTCCCCTCTGGAATCGAGATTGTGGGCTTTCTGAAGAGTGGTTTCAGATTGTGGGCTTTCTGAAGAGTGGTTTCAGATTGTGGGCTTTCTGAAGAGTGGTTTCAGATTGTGGGCTTTCTGAAGAGTGGTTTCAGATTGTGGGCTTTCTGAAGAGTGGTTTCAGATTGTGGGCTTTCTGAAGAGTGGTTTCAGATTGTGGGCTTTCTGAAGAGTGGTTTCAGGGCAGTCGATGATACGAGTGGGCTTGTTGACGGGTTCTCCTGACACGTAGCTGTGATCAATCAGTGCTGGAACCTCCCATTGAGTATCAGCATCTTTATGCTGCGGTGGCATTGGCACCGGCACTCGGATCAGACTCTGCATCACCACAGTTGTCTTCATCTGTCAAACAAACATAAGAGAGACCACAAGTTTAACACAATAAAATACACAGACAGCCTACTGGTCATGGTTAGGAAATAAAAAATAAAAACACTTTTCATGAGCATCACCAGTGGCATGCCAGCAATGATGGGGATCATCATGGCATGGGGGAGACATTGTCAGACAGAAGTTGTTGGATAGCTAACAATGTAGGGACTACCTAGCTAGGCTAGTTAGCTGGCAACACTATCAGATGGGCTGCCCTCAAGCTAGCCAGCTAAGTGAATAAGCTAGGCAACAGTTAGCTAGCTACAGTATGTTAGGACTTAGGAGTGGCTACCAACTAGTAACACAATTAGCTAAGCTAGCTAACTTCTGCCTGATTCAGGACACCCATCTGTGACGATAGCCAGCGAGTAGCAGCTAGCTAACAGCTACCTGTATGTGTTGATGTCCTGATCTGATGAGATGTCGCCTTCTGGTCTGTACTGGAGAATCATAGCCCAGCCACTTCTCAGGGATGCGCTTCAGTCTGCCTTTTGTCCACCAAGTGATAGGAACACACATAGGGTCGGTTTGGTGGTTTCTTCAAGTTTAAATGCTTTGAGCCAAAGCCCGAAGAGACTCCTCGTCCTTAGGAGGTGGGTGCAAATCAAAAGGCGCCTCACAACTGCACTCGCTCCTCAAAAAAAGTTTGGTGGTCAAAACACTCCTGTTCCACAGCTTCAGTTTCTGCCAGTTATTCTGGTATCCCCTTACCGAACATAAAAAAAAACCTGTTGTGCGTCAATCCATGTTTGGAAAGTTGTGAGAAGCGATACCGAGTTAGTTAGCTAGCTGCGAACTATTGGCTAGAAGTGCTTAACCGGAAGTCCCCCACAAAAACACCTAAACAGACCCCGCCCATATTTCCTTTGAAAATAAGGTGAATAGCAGCGGGTATAAAGCCATAACACAGATGTTTTTCCAGCGGCAGACTATGATCGATAATGTCAAAAGCCACACTGAAGTCTAACAAAACAGCCCCCACAGTCTTTTTATCATCCATTTCTATTAAATAATGTATATTTATATTTATCATCAAAACTATTCAAAATGTCACCTAGTCAGACCATTATTACGGTTCAAGCTGGCTGATAGGAATTATTAGGTAGGTAACATTAAGAGTAGCACATAATTTGTTCGCCTAAGCTAACATATGGAATTGTTTTAAGATGGTCATACCATGGATCGTTTGCTATTTTATTTTGAATTTTAGGCCCCTTTAGGTATAAAAAAATAAAAATATTTGATAAAATATAGAAATTTGGCCTTTACTACTATAGCCCATAGAAATGTCATGATGACACCCACCTGTCTCAATCAATGAGAGAAATAGTTTGTTCAAGAAAAGCAGAGCCATATACAGTGGGGGAAAAAAGTATTTAGTCAGCCACCAATTGTGCAAGTTCTCCCACTTAAAAAGATGAGAGAGGCCTGTAATTTTCATCATAGGTACACGTCAACTATGATAGACAAAATGAGAAAAAGAAAATCCAGAAAATCACATTGTAGGATTTTTAATGAATTTATTGGCAAATTATGGTGGAAAATAATTATTTGGTCAATAACAAAACGTTGTTATATACCCTTTGTTGGCAATGACACAGGTCAAACGTTTTCTGTAAGTCTTCACAAGGTTTTCACACACTGTTGCTGGTATTTTGGCCCATTCCTCCATGCAGATCTCCTCTAGAGCAGTGATGTTTTGGGGCTGTCGCTGGGCAACACAGACTTTCAACTCCCTCCAAATATTTTCTATGGGGTTGAGATCTGGAGACTGGCTAGGCCACTCCAGGACCTTGAAATGCTTCTTACGAAGCCACTCCTTCGTTGCCCGGGCGGTGTGTTTGGGATCATTGTCATGCTGAAAGACCCAGCCACGTTTCATCTTCAATGCCCTTGCTGATGGAAGGAGGTTTTCACTCAAAATCTCACGATACATGGCCCCATTCATTATTTCCTTTACACGGATCAGTCGTCCTGGTCCCTTTGCAGAAAAACAGCCCCAAAGCATGATGTTTCCACCCCCATGCTTCACAGTAGGTATGGTGTTCTTTGGATGCAACTCAGCATTCTTTGTCCTCCAAACACGACGAGTTGAGTTTTTACCAAAAAGTTATATTTTGGTTTCATCTGACCATATGACATTCTCCCAATCCTCTTCTGGATCATCCAAATGCACTCTAGCAAACTTCAGACGGGCCTGGACATGTACTGGCTTAAGCAGGGGGACACGTCTGGCACTGCAGGATTTGAGTCCCTGGCGGCGTAGTGTGTTACTGATGGTAGGCTTTGTTACTTTGGTCCCAGCTCTCTGCAGGTCATTCACTAGGTCCCCCCGTGTGGTTCTGGGATTTTTGCTCACCGTTCTTGTGATCATTTTGACCCCACGGGGTGAGATCTTGCGTGGAGCCCCAGATCGAGGGAGATTATCAGTGGTCTTGTATGTCTTCCATTTCCTAATAATTGCTCCCACAGTTGATTTCTTCAAACCAAGCTGCTTACCTATTGCAGATTCAGTCTTCCCAGCCTGGTGCAGGTCTACAATTTTGTTTCTTGTGTCCTTTGACAGCTCTTTGGTCTTGGCCATAGTGGAGTTTGGAGTGTGACTGTTTGAGGTTGTGGACAGGTGTCTTTTATACTGATAACAAGTTCAAACAGGTGCCATTAATACAGGTAACGAGTGGAGGACAGAGGAGCCTCTTAAAGAAGAAGTTACAGGTCTGTGAGAGCCAGAAATCTTGCTTGTTTGTAGGTGACCAAATACTTATTTTCCACCATAATTTGCAAATAATTCATTAAAAATCCTACAATGTGTCTGTCATAGTTGACATGATGAAAATTGACATGATGAAAATTACAGGCCTCTCATCTTTTTAAGTGGGAGAACTTGCACAATTGGTGGCTGACTAAATACTTTTTTCCCCCACTGTAGCTAGTTAGCTACAGTGCTATGTAAGCTAACTAAATATGAAGTACGAAACATGGCTAGCTAGCTAAGTTAGTAGCTACGTATGCTATGCTAAAAACAGTTAGCTAGCTAGCTAGCTAGCTAGCTTGACCAGATTCAGATCTCATCTCACAGCCTGAATTGACAGATTACCTTGATGATGTCTTCGCAGAAACTGTGCACGGATTTCAGTGATGCGAGGTCCAGGTGTTTGATTAGGAGTTCTCCCGAATCTGGACCTGTCTCCAGTCTTATCTCCTGTGCCGCTTCCTCAGTCCTCTTCATGTCCCTGCAAGCCATGATCACACGACCCCCGCGCCTCACTAGTTCAACTGTTGTGGCTTTACCTATGCCACTGTTGGCACCCGTCACTATTATAGTTTTTCCCACGCATCATTTAGAAGGATACAGTCAATGACAGTACAGTATGAAGATAGGCTAAAACTGCTTCTCCAATAGAAATCCCCGATCACACTTGTACAAGCGATGTCATGGCTCCGTTGGCTAGCAAAGCTCACGCGTAAAAAAACACGTCACCAGTCGTCTATCTATCCCATGTGCAGGCCGTCAAATCAATGTTGTTCCTTAGATATAAAGTTGTTTTTGACGAAAAAAAAAAAAAAAAACGTGTCAGTTTGTCACTTTCACGACGTTGGAGTAATAACATGTTCAACTACTTAAGACATTGGCTCGAATCTAGGTTGTGCCTTTAGATTTCGAGAAAATAACAACTAAGGAAGCATTTTTCACTTCTCTCTTTGACTTCCCAAATCCCAAACCCCTGCTTGGTCTGTTAAGGAAGCGTTCCCGGAAGTCTCGCGATGTTGCCCCTGTGGGTTTAGAAAATGTGATACAGTGCGTTTCGGTCCCCCAGAAGTACATTCATGTGAAAATGTGATACAGCTGCTTTTGCCTTTGCTTTGTTGTTCGTTCTGTGTGGTGCATACGTTGGATTTATCGAACGTATTCGTCAAAGTGTATGTGTAAACGGGTTGACAGAAATGGTAGCAGAAGGTGAATGTTCAACTTTTGTTGCACACATTTCTAGATGATGCTGCATATTATTTTGCGCAATGTTACAGTCGGTGTGTTCAGAGCGTAATACCTTTATCCCGAAGAGGAGAGAAACTAAGCTCTGTGGAAGTCAATAACAGCTGGACTGAACACTACATTACCCATAAAGCGCAGTAAATGTCAAGCAGTAGTGCACGAGGAGTCGCTCTTTCTAAATAAAAGTCAGCAATTGAATTCCTACAACTTTTATTATATGGAGGACTAAAAGTGCCACAATTAAATAAATAAATACACCATTAAATAATTACTTAAATGTGTCATTAATTAATTAAAATTATAATTAAATACATAAATGTGTTATTAAATGTGTCATTAATTAATTCAAATACCGATTCATTTTATGTAAAATACATATATAATAATTTCACTATTTACATTTACATTTCATGGTCCTGCGTTGGAGTGATTCATGAATTACTTAAAACTGTCAAACTGACCCATCAAAAGTTGGTAGGCGGAACCTAACGCCTGATTGGTTACCCTCTGCATCAAGCCAAGACAAATCAATTCCGGATAATGGATTGATGCAGAGCTACTGAACACATTCCAATACACTGGGTGGCGCTATTCACCTCTACGTTGGTTTAGGGGGGGGAAGCATAAACCTAGCTAGTTCGCTAATCGGCTAAATGGTGTTAGCTGGCTTGAGCATCCCAAGATAGAAGTAGAGGCTGTTTTAGCTGACTGGTGACCATTGAGCTGTTACGTTTTTCTGTGTTGCAGCGGAGGTAGCAAGGCTCTTTGCGCCATATAACATTGGAGCCAGAAGGAATATGACGAGACGACCAGCACAAGTCCAAGTTAGCCGAAGAAGCTACACACACACACTGTCTGTTGTTTGGCTGACCACAATGCGGATAAAATTCCAAGCGTACTGTTTAAAGCTGAACTTCTTACTTCAGGACTTGGAGAGCAAAAAGTAACATTTTCAGGTCAGTGCGAAACTAGGCATTTACCAAAAGTAAAAAAAGTTTGTACTGTCTGTGGCTTGTTGAAATTATTTGCATTTCTTTTTATAGTGACTCAAACTTAATTGGTGTTCATAGTGTCAATAATAGTTATCACAGGCTTATTTGCTTAATTTAAGGTGAGGTGAGTTATGATTTTGTTTTGTTTTTTTCTCCAGGGAATGACCACGATCCCATGGTTATAACAAATAAACTGATGGAAGTGTTTCCGAAGCTCCAACAAGGGGGAGGCTTTGAATTTCTAAAACTTGTAGAATCTACTCGCAGTCGAAATCTTGCGTTGCTTCAGTGTCCCAGCACTGGATACACCCTTGCCTATCTGAAAGATCCATCGACGATGATTGGACAGGCTACAATCTACATACGTCCACTTCAACAGGATCTACCCTTAGATTGTGTACATACATTTACAGAGACTTAGTTTAATACATAATCAAAACAAAGATTACTGGTGACTTTTAATCATTAATTAAAAGCCATTTGTTGTTGTTGTTAGGAGAGCTCACGTCCTGCCTCTGGTCCAGTCATCCCCTGCATCACTTGTCAGAAGGAAGTTCCCTTTTCAGAGATGAAGCTGCACAGATTGAGCTGCAATGGGTATGTACTTCTTAAAGCAATGCAAGGGTAGCATAATTTATTTTCTTTGGGAATATGTCTCTCTTATTGTTGTGCACACAAATAAGCGAGTATGACCATCATTTCAATTGTGTTAACTTCAAGGACACCCATGCAGGAATCAGAAAGAGAACAAGAGGGAGGCCAAAGTGAAGAAAATGATAGTGAGACAGCCCTAGTCAGTGACAGTGTTCCAGTGAGGCCTGAAACATCAGCTGAGAGTGCAGTAGTACCGGCAGTGATTGTCAACGAGGAGTTGGATCGCAAAGAAACAGACAGTGGTTTGTGTCATCACAATAGTGTTGCTATAAGATTGTGTGTAACTGAAAAGTTAATAGAAAGATAACACCTGTAGGATATAATTAGATAAGATAATACAGTTACAGACAATTAATAACATGCAACTGGGTTTTTCTATTTTTCTAATATTTAGTTGTAGTTGTTTAGTAGTGCTGTTTTTATGTCAACTCAGCGTTGTGACAGGTTCTGAAGATGTTGGGTCTCACGTTTTGTCAGTGAAATGAACAGAATTTTCCTCCTGTTCTGTAGAGTGAGAGGATATCTGTATATGCAGGTAACATGCCAACTCACAATATGTCTCTCTGTAATAGATAACTTTATTGTTGTTGTTTGTTTAGAATGGAAGCTTATTAAAGAACCCACTCAAGCTGCCAAAGTTTTCAAAGAGAATCTGCTAAGGGAACATGCAACTGGGAAACCACTTAGAATGAAGATGGATGTAAGGGACTCTGAAGAGGACAGGGAACGGGAGCTTCTCTTATTCTATAAACAGCAGCAAGAATGGGCATGTCCACTTCATTGTACTCTGGTTGGTAAGTAATATAACATTTATAATATAAATACATCAGTACAGTTTATACCACTTAAGTAGCTTATATGGAATTGTTAAATGGGAGAATGGAATGCACAAAATTATATAATTGATAAAAATGTTATATGTATGTATGTGAATATTGTGCACAATATACTCTTGTTATCTGGAATAATCAATATTAAGGATGCTATTCTAGAATTACAGCCAATAGAAGTTTTTCTCCCTTTCTTGTTAAATGTTACCAAATCCAGTTACCTGTATTAGGCCGCCACTTTTTTTCCAGTGTTATTATCAGTATTTTATTTCAGGTGATGTTGCTATCGGAGAGGGAGTGATGCGGTACTTTATGACAACAATCATATCCAAACTCCAGTTTGGATTCAGTCTAGATCTTGGTAAGTATCTTACTAATTTTTTGAAGGTTAATCCATCTATAAATTGCAGAAATGTCTGTCTGTAGCGCATGTCTCTCAGTTAGTCCGATGGATTTCAAACTTGACAGGTGTCTTGCTCTGGTCACGAGTAAGTGCAGTGCCAAGTTTGACGACGTTTGGATAAACGCAAAAGATAGCGTTACATATATAGGTAAAAGAAGCACACATTGGCTTTTGCCGCTCTTGCTGCTTGCCATTCTCACACTGCATGCAACGCTGACTGAGCACCTGTTTGTGTCGTGACTCACTCTACACCGCCTCTCTCTATGCGCGCGCACACACACACACGCGTACACGTACGTTCTGGTGGTTGATGAACGCGGATATGTGCTGTTTAGCGGAGGGCCGGTGGGCAATGTTTTGTGTCAGGTAAGTCTGTAGTAGGGTATACAGGGGAATTGAATTTGAAGTGGTTTGGGGTCCTTCTGTAAGTCATTTTGGAGTAGGCTACAATTTGGTTTAAGTGAATTCTACAAGCAGCAATACCACAGGCCAAGTAATCGCCACTAGTATGATGTAATATATCTATCTATCTATCTATCTATCATACATTTTTATTTAATGTATTTAAGAGGTTAATTGTTGTGACTTTATTCCCTGCTCTCTTGGTACTTTACAGGAGGAATGGGCCGAACACTGCTATTTGAGGGTGAACCTGACCATCTTGTTCCAGCAGCATCAGAGGCACTTATTGAAAGCAACCTCTTCCGGGTTGCAGGAAGGATGTTGGGCCACACCTTTCTGCATGATGGTCCCCATGTCACAGGACTAAGTCCTGCTGTAATTCATGTACTGTTCAATGGGGACCCTGAAATGGCTACTGTTGTTACAGAAGACTGTCCTGATCTGCACATCAGGAGCATCATAGAACTGGTATGTAACCTAAAAGAAACTTTGCCATGTAAAAAATATTGCTTGGGCAGATATAATAACTTGTATGGTCTTAATTCTAGCTTGAACATGAAGATCTTACACCGGAACAGAAGGACACAGTTTCAGATCTTTCCATGTCTTGGGATCTTCCGGAATTGACACAAGTTCAGTGTCTTTGAAAACATTAACACACTGTGCAGTAGTTGACTTTTTTTTCTTCCATTTACTAAAATCAAACTGTTCTGCACCTTCAGTGCTAACAGTACAGCATTCATGTTAGTCATTCTGTGGACCATAATGAGACAGGAAGCTTCAAAGAAACAGCTTTTTTTCCTTTCTTTTAAAAGGAAAGTAAACTTTCAGTTTTTCCTTGCTTGTTCTAACACAACAAATAAAAACATGGGTTGGACATCAGTCTAAGATTCTTGATAACACTTCCACAGTCTCTACATATAGTCTAAGTGCATCAGTAACAGAAACTCCTGGAGCTGGCAAAATTGC